CTCAAAATTTTCATGTTATTAGTGTCAATTTTGAAGCATTTTAAAGCTTTTTTAAGTTTTAATTTGTGTCATTTTTTTGTTTCATTTTCTAAAATTTCAGTGGCCATTTGAAAACGTATTTTTTTTAAGTTTCAATGATTACTAAATGTAATATTTTTTTTTTATTTTGAAAAAGGGATTAGATTTGTCATTTTTAAAGATCTTCACAGTATTTTATAAAATTTAGTTATTTAATTTCCAGTTCTGAAAATTTCAAACACCATTGAATTTTGAGTGTTTGCGTTTTCCAAATTTTATTATTATGATTTTTTTAATTTACCTTATTAGAAGTTTCAAACTTAAAAGAACGGTATTTCGATTTTCAAAAAACATGTTCAAACAACTTTTGGATTTTTCAGTGTTTTAAAAATTTTTGGAATTTATAAAATCTATTTGTGACTAATCTCAGAATTTCTGTTTTATTTCTCAAAATTTTCATGTAATTAGTGTCAGTTTTCAACTATTTTAAAGCTTTCTTAAGTTTTAATTTGTCTCATTTTTTGTGTTTCATTTTCGAAAATTTCAGTGGTCATTTGAAACACTATTTTTTTTAAGTTTCAATGTTTACCAAATGTAATATATTTTTTTTTATTTTGAAAAAGGGATTAAATTTGTCATTTTGAAAGATCTTCACAGTATTTTATAAAATTTAGTTATTTAATTTCCAGTTCTGAAAATTTCAAACACCATTGAATTTTGAGTGTTTGCGTTTTCCAAATTTTATTATTATGATTTTTTTAATTTACCTTATTAGAAGTTTCAAACTTAAAAGAACGGTATTTCGATTTTCAAAAAACATGTTCAAACAACTTTTGGATTTTTCAGTGTTTTAAAAATTTTTGGAATTTATAAAATCTACTTGTGACTAATCTCAGAATATCTGTTTCATTTTTCAAAATTTTCATGGTATCAGTGTCAGTTTTGAAGCATTTTAAAGCTTTTTTAAGTTTTAATTTGTGTCATTTTTTGTGTTTCATTTTCGAAAATTTCAGTGGTCATTTGAAATAGTAGTTTTTTTAAGTTTCAATAATTACTAAATGTAATATTTTTTTTTATTTTGAAAAAGGGATTAAATTTGTCATTTTTAAAGATCTTCACAGTATTTTATAAAATTTAGTTATTTACATTCCAGTTCTGAAAATTTCAAACACCATTGAATTTTGAGTGTTTGCGTTTTCCATATTTTATTATTATGATTTTTTTAATTTACTTTACTAGAAGTTTCAAACTTAAAAGAACCGTATTTCGTTTTTTAAAAATCATGTTCAAAGAACTTTTGGATTTTTCAGTGTTTTAAAAATTTTTGGAATTTATAAAATCTATTTGTGACTAATCTCAGAATTTCTGTTTTATTTTTCAAAATTTTCATGTTTTTAGTGTCAATTTTGAAGCTTTTAAGTTTTTATATGTAATTTTTTGTCTCATTTTCTAAAATTTCAGTGGTAACTTGAAACAGTATTTTTTTTAAGTTTCAACGATTATTAAATGTCATATTTTTTTCATTTTGAAAAAAGGATTAATTTTGTCAATTTTAAAGATCTTCACGATATTTTAGAAAAATCAGTTATTTACTTGCAATTTTTCAGAATTTCAAACACATTTTATTTTCAAGTGTTTACGTTTTCCAAATTTTATTATTATCTGCTTTTTAATTTACCCTTATTAAGGGTTTTAACATAACAAAAGGTATTTCGATTGTTCAAAAAGATGTTCAAAGAACTCTTGGATTTTTCAGTGATTTAAAAATTTTTGAAATTTATAAATCTGCTTATTTCGGAGTTATCTCAGAATTTCTGTTTTATTTCTCAATATTTTCATGTTATTAGTGTCAATTTTGAGGCAATTAGAAGTTTTTTAAGTTTTAATGTGTTATTTTTTGTGTTTCATTTTCTAAATTCTCAGTGGTCACTTGAAACAGTAGTTTTTTTTTAAGTTTCAACGATTATTAAATGTCATGTTTTTTTCATTTTGAAAAGAGGATTAATTTTCTCAATTTTAAAGATCTTCACGATATTTTAGAAAAATCAGTTATTTACTTGTAATTTTTCGGAATTTCAAACACATTTGATTTTCAAGTATTTAGGTTTTCCAAATTTTATTAATATTCTTTTAATTTATTTTTTAAAGTCGTTTACATTTTTCAAATTTTATTATTATCTTCTTTTTAATTTACCCTTATTAAGGGTTTTAAAATAAAAAAAAGGTATTTCGATTGTTCAAAAAGATGTTTAAAGAACTCTTGGATTTTTCAGTGTTTTAAAAATTTTTGAAATTCATAAATCTGCTTATTTCGGAGTTATCTCAAAATTTCTGTTTTATTTCTCAATATTTTCAAGTTATTAGTGTCAATTATGAAGCAATTAGAAGTTTTTTTAAGTTTTAATGTGTTATTTTTTGTGTTTCATTTTCTAAATTTTCAGTGGTCACTTGAAACAGTAGTTTTTTTATTAAGTTTCAACGATTATTAAATGTCATATTTTTTTCATTTTGAAAAAAAGATTAATTTTGTCAATTTTAAAAATCTCCACGATATTTTAGAAAAATCAGTTATTTACTTACTTGCAATTTTTCGGAATTTCAAACACATTTGATTGTCAAGTGTTTACGTTTTCCAAATTTTATTAATATTCTTTTAATTTATCTTTTCAAGTCGTTTACGTTTTCCAAATTTTATTATTATCTGATTTTTAATTTACCCTTATTAAGGGTTTTAAAATAAAAAAAAGTATTCGATTGTTCCAAAAGATGTTCAAAGAAGTCTTGGATTTTTCAGTGTTTTAAAAATTTTGGAAATTTATAAATCTACTTATTTCGGAGTTATCTCAGAATTTCTGTTTTATTTCTCAATATTTTCATGTTATTAGTGTCAATTTTGAAGCATTTAGAAGTTTTTTTTAAGTTTTAATGTGTTATTTTTTGTGTTTCATTTTCTAAATTTTCAGTGGTCACTTGAAACAGTAGTTTTTTTTAAGTTTCAACGATTATTAAATGTCATATTTTTTTCATTTTGAAAAAAGGATTGATTTTGTCAATTTTAAAGATCTTCACGATATTTTAGAAAAATCAGTTATTTACTGACAAGTTTTCGGAATTTCAAGCACCTTTGATTTCCAAGTGTTTACGTTTTCCAAATTTTATTATTTATTATCTTCTTTTTAATTTACCCTTATTAAGAATTTTCAAATAAAAAAAAAGGTATTTCGATTGTTCAAAGAACTTTTGGATTTTTCAGTGTTTTCAAAATTTTTTAAATTTATAAATTTACTTCTGAGGAATCTCAGAATTTCTGTTTTATTTCTCGAAATTTTCATGTTACTACTGTCAGTTCTGAAGCATTTTAAAGCTTTTTTAAGTTTTAATTTGTCATTTTTTTGTGTTTCATTTTCTAAAATTTCAATGGTCATTTGAAACAGTGTTTTTTTTTGAGTTTCAATGATTATTAAATGTCATATAGGAGTATTTTTAATTTTATAAAAACGATTAAATTTGTCAATTTTAAATTTCTTTACGATCAATCGTCATATTTTATAAATTTTAACAGCTTTTTTTGATTTTTTTAATTGCAAAGAAAAATTTCGATGTTTAAAAAAAAACTTTTCTTCTCTTCAGTATTTTCAAAATTTTTGCAATTTATAAATCTAATTTTGTATAAAGTTTGATGTTGTTGATTCTTATTGACTTCGTTTGAAGCTTCAAATTCTAGTTTATTTCGTATATTTATTGAAGGTCTTTTTTCTTCAAAATTAAAAAAAGATATTTCAAATGTCAAGTCTGTTGCTACAAAATTTGTAGTAATTTCGTAATTTTGGGAAAATATATATTTTTTTTAATTCACACATTCTTTTATATCGTAATCAAATAAAAATAAAAAATAAAAATAAAAAAATATTGTCACGTCATTAAAAGTACGTTTGAACTGTCATGCGAGAGTTCGGAGAATTGAAAATCTTCTTAATCTTCTTAATCTTGTTAATCTACTTAAAATTCAGATTTACGAATTTTCAAAAATTGCTGTTCTAAACCTAGAATTCCTCTATTCATCGTGGGTTTACTTTTTGGAGAACTTCGTACCTAAATTACAATTTTTTCTTTCACCTGTTCCATTTTGCGCAAAAACCTATCAATTTCGCATTACCACACACACAATATCGCCTAGATTAATTTTTTTCCATTCATTTCATTCGACCTCAGCTGGCGCCCATAAAATTACCTCGCCAACAAAGCCGCCATGTACGGCACAGGAACCAACTGCATGCAAATTCCATGAATCATTAATTTCGATTAGTTCCAGTGCGTTACAAAATATTTTTTAACTCGGCCACGGATTCGCAATAGCTTTTTCGGTGTCCGGCAGCGTTTCTAAACAGCCGTGTGGAAGTGAAAGTTGATTAAATTAAATCTGTCCTTAATTATTGCATCCACGTGAAAAAGTCGGGCGCATTTCCATCAACAGGTGCCCGCCATCTGACTGCCGCCTGCCATCTGGTAGCCGCGCCGCCGAAACTCCGGCAAGACCTCTTCTCGCCCCTACGCCGACTCTGTGCAGATGTCAGCACGTGTGTCTTCGCTGACCGCCCGAGATTGAAATTTCAAACCTTTAAATTCCGACTATTCAAAACACCGACTCGGTTTATGCAAAAAGCGAACTAATTTCCGCAGCGGACGCTCGCCGGTGTTTTCGGTCCGGGTGAACGTCCTCTGAATTTCGGCAACCCGAACCCACGGTTTCAAATTCGAAAAACAGCTGTTGTGCCGCCGGTGCTCGATGATGTAGTCGGAGTACTTGGTTTTTAAAGTATGTACATTTTGTTTGATAAGGAAAACAGCGTTTAATGCTGATAAGAACGCACGAAGTGGAGTAATCGCTTTTTCGCGAATATATTGTGCGAATGCCACCACTTAACCTACAAATCAGGTGAGTTCCACAGGTGTTTCGACACGTTTCCTTAACAGTTCGCCAGATTTAGAAATTAAACCCGAGGCTGAAAATGAATTTTACAAGAGAGAAGCTAAAGATATGGTCAATGTTGTACAAAGGCTGATTGGAGAAGGTGAGTTTTTTTGCGGAAATGCAGGTACCTGGGGCGCGAGGGGGGTGGGAGTAAAGGTCAATGGTCAGAGAATGTGCGTGAAATTCAATATGGGTCGATGGGGGGTTCGAGGAACGCAATTAGCAGGTGATGAATTCGGAACTCGATTTTTTCGAGTGCGGATCTGGCGTTCTAGGAAAAAATGGGGTTGAGGTGAGCGCTGACAAATGTGGTTTTTGTAACGAGAAAATTAATAGAGTAAACGTAGTTACTTGATGAAATCATGAATGATTTGCTTAATTTTAGATTAATTATGTCACAATAATGTTGAACTGAATTGATTATTTATCAGTTTGTAATTTTTGTTGATGTTTTTATGTAATGTAATGATGTTGCAAATCGGAGCTTTGTTTATATTGGTGGTGTCGATAATAAAACGTGAGTCAAAATGTGGAACAAATGAATTTGTCAGATTCTTCACACGTGATAATTGTATATGTTATGTGAAGGTTATTTTTTCTTACTGGAAAATTTAGAAAAAAATGTTGTTTCGTGATTTTGTTGAAAAATTTGGCGCACCATACACTTAAAATTAGAAAGAGAATTTTTATTGTACAGATAAGGTAGTTGGATGACGTCATTCAATTTTTTCAGGTAGTGACAGTGAAATTTACGTTGACGTTTTATTACGGTCATGTTGTTGTCGAAAGTAACAATTTTACATTATTAATTTTTTAATTTATTGTTATCACTTGCGTAATAATCGTAGAATACGTCTAATTCGGTGGTCGCCAAGACCATGTGTTTTTTCGTCCACATCCTGAATAGGTAGGATGTTTTTATGACGTCATTCTTAAAAAGTTCAAATTTTCTTTTCTTACTCTTTTTGGTTCAATGTTCTGAATTTTAAAGTGTGGTTTTGACTTTAAAAGTTGACAATTGAATATTTAAAAAAGTTGCGGTTTTTTTACAATTGAAGCTTCAAGATTAAAGTTTAGAGGTTTAAAAGTCAAAGTTTGAAGGTTTGAAGTTCCTTCGATCTTTGAAATTTTGAAATTTAGAAGGTTTAAAAGTCAGTCAACAGATGTAATTTTATTATTGTTTTTAATTCAGGAATTTTAAATCCTTCAAGATTTAGGATTTGGTATTTGAAGACACAATAGTTAAAAAAAATGAAGCTTCTTTATTATGATCAAAATTGAAGTCTTAAAAAGTTTTAAAAAGATCTAGCGTTAAGAGACGAAAATTTTGAATTAACATCAAAATTTCTAAATCCAAAATTTCACATTTTGAAAAAGTGAAACTTTTAGACGAAAGTTAGAATCTGGAGATTTAAAAATTTCAAATTTTGAGTTCAACTTCGATGTGTCAAAGTTGGGGAACTTAACAAGTGAATGTTTTAATGACTATAGGTTTTGAAATTTGGAAATTCCATTTAAAAATCAGGGATTTTCTTAGCTTGGAGATTTAAAATCTAAAGATACATGTTTAAACGATGAAATTTTCAGATTATTAACAAAACTGAAACGAGTTTTAGAAATTTTGTTTTAATGTTTAAAAACTTGTGGCTTCTGAGTTTCAAAGTTTTAAGTTTTGAACTTTAAAAAATCTATAGTTCTATCGAAGCTTTAAAAAAACAATGTTTGGAGTTTTAAGAAGCCAAAGTTTGAGGTTTGAAGTTCCTTGGATTTTTGAAATTTTGAAATTTAGAAGGTTCAAAAGTCAGTCAACAAATGTAACTTTATTATTGTTTTTAATTCAGTAATTTTAAATCCTTCAAGATTTAGGATTTGATATTTGATGACACAATAGTTAAAAAAAAATGAACCTTCTTTATTATGATCAAAATTGAAGTAAGTCTTAAAAAGTTTTAAAAAGATCTACCGTTAAGAGACGAAAATTTTGAATTAACGTCCAAATTTCTTAATTCTAAATGTCAAATTTTGAAAAACTGAAACTTTTAAACAAAAGTTAGAATCTGGAGATTTAAAAATTTCAAATTTTGAGTCAAATTTCGATGTGTCAAATTTGGTGAACTTCACAACTGAATATTTTAATGACTATAGGTTTTGAAATTTGGAAATTCCATTTAAAAATCAGGGATTTTCTTAGCTTGAAGATTTAAAATCTAAAGATACATGTTTAAACGATGAAATTTTCAGGTCATTAACAAAACTGAAACGAGTTTTAGAAATTTTGTTTTAATGTTTAAAAACTTGTGATTTCTGAGTTTAAAAGTTTTAAGTTTTAAAATTTAAAAAATCTATAGTTCTGTCGAAGCTTTAAAAAAACAATGTTTGGAGTTTTGAAGAAACCACAGTTTGAGGTTTGAAGAGTCTTCGATCTTTGAAATTTTGAAATTTAGGTTTAAAAGTCAGTCAACAAATGTAATTTTATTATTGTTTTTAATTCAGTAATTTTAAATCCTTCAAGATTAGGATTTGATATTTGAAAACACAATAGTTAAAAAAAATGAAGCTTCTTTATTATGATCAATATTGAAGTAAGTCTTAAAAAGTTTTAAAAAGATCCACCGTTAAGAGACGAAAATTTTGAATTAACGTCCAAATTTCTAAATCCAAAATGTCAAATTTTGAAAAACTGAAACTTTTAAAGGAAAGTTAGAATCTGGAGATTTAAAAATTTCAAATTTTGAGTCAAATTTCGATGTGTTAAATTTGGGGAACTTAACAACTGAATATTTTAATGACTATAGGTTTTGAAATTTGGAAATTCCATTTAAAAATCAGGGATTTTCTTAGCTTGAAGATTTAAAATCCAAAGATACATGTTTAAACAATGAAATTTTCAGGTCATTAACAAAACAGAAACGAGTTTTAGAAATTTTGTTTTAATGTTGAAAAACTTGTGGCTTCTGAGTTTAAAAGTTTTAAGTTTTGAACTTTAAAAAGTCTATAGTTCTATCGAAGATTTAAAAAAACAATGTTTGGTGTCTTAAGGAGCCAAAGTTTGAGGTTTGAAGTTCCTTCGATCTTTGAAATTTTGAAATTTAGGTTTAAAAGTCAGTCAACAAATGTAATTTTATTATTGTTTTTAATTCAGGAATTTTAAATCCTTCAAGATTAGGATTTGATATTTGAAAACACAATAGTTAAAAAAAATGAAGCTTCTTTATTATGATCAATATTGAAGTAAGTCTTAAAAAGTTTTAAAAAGATCTACCGTTAAGAGACGAAAATTTTGAATTAACGTCCAAATTTCTAAATCCAAAATGTCAAATTTTGAAAAAGTGAAACTTTTAAACGAAAGTTAGAATCTGGAGATTTAAAAATTTCAAATTTTGAGTTCAACTTCGATGTGTCAAAGTTGGGGAACTTAACAAGTCAATGTTTTATTGACTGTAGATTTTGGAATTTGGAAATTCCATTTAAAAATCAGGGATTTTCTTAGCTTGGAGATTTAAAATCCAAAAATACATGTTTAAACGATGAAATTTTCAGATTCTTAACAAAATTGAAACAAATTTTAGAAATTTTGTTTTAATGTTTAAAAACTTGTGGCTTCTGATTTTAAAAGTTTTAAGTTTTGAACTTTAAAAAATCGATAGTTCTATCGAAGCTTTAAAAAAACAATCTTTGGAGTTTTAAGAAGCCAAAGTTTGAGGTTTGAAGTTCCTTCGATTTTTGAAATTTTGAAATTTAGAAGGTATAAAAGTCAGTCAACAAATGTAATTTTATTATTGTTTTTAATTCAGTAATTTTAATTCCTTCAAGATTTAGGATTTGATATTTGAAGACACAATAGTTAAAAAAAATGAAGCTTCCATATTATGATTAAAATTGAAGTAAATTTTAAAAAGTTTTAAAAATATTTACCGTTAAGAGACGAAAATTTTGAATTAACGTCCAAATTTCAAAATCCAAAATGTCAAATTTTGAAAAACTGAAACTTTTAGACGAAAGTTAGAATCTAGACTTTTAAAAAATTCAAATTTTGAGTTAAACTTCGTTGTGTCAAAGTTGGGGAACTTAACAAGTGAATGTTTTAATGTCTGTAGGTTTTGAAATTTGGAAATTCCATTTAAAAATCAGGGATTTTCTTAGCTTGGAGATTTAAAATCTAAAGATACATGTTTAAACGACGAAATTTTCAGGTCATTAACAAAACTGAAACGAGTTTTAGAAATTTTGTTTTAATGTTGAAAAACTTGTGGCTTCTGAGTTTAAAAGTTTTAAGTTTTGAACTTTAAAAAATCTGTCGTTCTGTCGAATCTTTAAAAAATCAAAGTTTGGAGTTTTAAGAAGCCAAAGTTTGAGGTTTGAAGAGTCTTCGATCTTTGAAATTTTGAAATTTAGGTTTAAAAGTCAGTCAACAAAATAATGTAATTTTATTATTGTTTTTAATTCAGTAATTTTAAATCCTTCAAGATTAGGATTTGATATTTGAAAACACAATAGTTAAAAAAAATGAAGCTTCTTTATTATGATCAATATTGAAGTAAGTCTTAAAAAGTTTTAAAAAGATCCACCGTTAAGAGACGAAAATTTTGAATTAACGCCCAAATTTCTAAATCCAAAATGTCAAATTTTGAAAAACTGAAACTTTTAAACAAAAGTTAGAATCTGGAGATTTAAAAATTTCAAATTTTGAGTCAAATTTCGATGTGTCAAATTTGGGGAACTTAACAACTGAATATTTTAATGACTATAGGTTTTGAAATTTGGAAATTCCATTTAAAAATCAGGGATTTTCTTAGCTTGGTGATTTAAAATCTAAAGATACGTGTTTAAACGATGAAATTTTCAGATTATTAACAAAACTGAAACGAGTTTTAGAAATTTTGTTTTAATGTTGAAAAACTTGTGGCTTCTGAGTTTAAAAGTTTTAAGTTTTGAACTTTAAAAAATCTGTCGTTCTGTCGAATCTTTAAAAAATCAAAGTTTGGAGTTTTAAGAAGCCAAAGTTTGAGGTTTGAAGAGTCTTCGATCTTTGAAATTTTGAAATTTAGGTTTAAAAGTCAGTCAACAAATGTAATTTTATTATTGTTTTTAATTCAGTAA